CTGCCGGGGCCTTTCGCCTGGCCCGGGCGTGAGGGCGAGGGTTCCCCTCGAGGCAGTCGAGAGGCGCCGGTGTGCGGCTGGAGGGGCCCTGGCCCCCGCCTCTGAGGGGACTTGCCAGGCGACTTGCGCGGGGAAGGGAGGCCAAGGGCTCTTCTGCTGCCTTTTAAAGCCCGCCTTGAGGGAAACGGCGCTGGCTCTTCCCTGCTGACCCCGTTCGCCGTCCCTGCCAGTGCTTGCCGAGTGCAGCCGGGAAGGGGGTGGCGGGGGTCTGGCACCCGCGGGCAGAGGCACGAGTGGGTGCCGGGCACAGGGGGAGAGACGCACCTGAAGGCAGGTGGGCGAGAGGTGTGGGAGCTTATTTGCTGGTCCTGGGGTGGCATCTGCTGATACAGTAAAGGTTTGGAGGTGTGGATGGGGGAAACTGCCCCCCCCCCGGATCTCCGACAAGCTCGCTCAAGCGCTGGCTTTACCTGGAGGTGCTGTCCCCTCAGGTCTTTACAGAATCAAAGGATACAACCGCAATGCAACCTCAGTTCTTCAGTGCATTTTGCGAAGCTGGGGGAATCATGCTTCAGTGAGAGCGTGAAGTATGTACGTCCCTAACTGTTCCCTTCTGTCAACTTTGCACGTTTAAATATAGAAATGTGTTTGAAGTATATGTCATCCAATGTGTAATGCTACTGGCAGCTGGAGAAAGCTCCTCCAATAAAATAATGTTTAAAATTTTAACATATCTGAAGCAGCAGAACAAAATCCTTCATTTTAAAATATTGGTTATCGCTTGATTTATGATACCATTTGGATGATAGAGTGTTGTGGATCTCATGCAAGTCTTGAATCTGGGTGAACTCCATTAATTTGTCTGAACTAAGTGAGGTTAGGGGGATGAGGGATATCACACCACTTAGTTCTGATTGTGAGTGTAGTTTCTGCTGATGTTATGCCAGTGCTTAACACATCATTCCAACAAAAGTAACTTACCTGTGAAAGGGATAGAAGTTTCCTGAAGTTTGGCCCTGTGGAAAGAACTCAGTCAAGCTCACCCTCTGCTTCAAGTATATTAATACATGTATATATTTTAAAAGCTTTCAAACAAATTTCCCTTTGTATTCTTCCTAATTAAAACCAAAGCAAACACATTGAGAGGCATCCAGATGTTTCAGATGGGCAGTGTAAGACAAGGGATCATGGCATATAGAACTTCTGTATATTGAAACAAGCTGATGGCAGTTTGTTTATGCTAGAAAGACAAAACAAATTCTGTGAAAAGTTCACGTAGACACTGTGCAGATTCAGTACACAGTGGAACTTGGATTAGAATTTGGATTACACAGTGTGGAAAATGTTTTGAGTTCTGGTTTATGTTACCTAATGGCTTTAAAACATTAGGATTGACACTAAAAATAGGCATAAGGCCTATACAAAAACTAAACTTGTTTTCATTGACATCTATAATGTATTGTATGGTCAGACAGAAAAAGACATGGTGCCTGCCCTACTTCTCTGAGCAGGTGTCCATTGCTGCAGTTGATTCCCCTTGACACTCCTCCTGTCCATGCAATTCTTCTAAACCCTGCCGGGCTCTGATACAAATTGGGACAGGAATAAAACAACCCCACAGAGACATAAGTAACTATAATGATATCTTTTGAAAGGTGCAGTGACTTTTTGTATGAGTGACACACACTTTTAGTCTTTTGCCACGTTGCGATGAAGATGCATGTTTACTCCATGCATGGAGTAATCTTCTATCTAACCGATGTTACTAAAATACAACTTTTGATTATTCAAACTTGGATGAAGACTGGCACTTTGTGATGTTTTGATGCAAATGAAGTTTTCATCCTGAGGCTCAATGTGTTGGCTAGTGTGTACATGCATAAATGTGTGTACATGGTGTGATCAAGGTTCTTGACCTCAGTAAAACTGTACCTGGTAAGATGCATTAATATGTAGCTGCTTCTAGCTTTGTACACACGGATTAAATCAAAATCAGTTTCAACTTTCTTAACAATTTCATGTATTTCATCCTGTCTGTATATAATTCTTTTTTTTAAGCTTAAGGTTCTAGTTTACAAGGTGTAGTTAAGGATGGCAATGAATTCAGAGTCAATGTCTTAAGTTATTGATGCCATTTATTAGCTGTTTTATGGGGATATTTGCTTTATGAATATGTTGGCATAATAAGTGGCAGTGAGTACAAAAAACCAAGTAAGACAAAAGGAGAATAATAATTTAAAACTTAAAAATCTTACTTTTTCACTTTCTAAGTGTTCTGGCAACAATGTATTTTGAAGAAGGAGGCTTCTGTTTGTAAATCAGTGGTTTCAGATGGCTGTTACATGACTAAAACCATACAGCACTCCTAGGTAAGTGTGCTGGATACAAGGATCCAGTGGTTTAGAATTCCTCTAGGTGGAGATAATTGCAAAACCCGATGTATCTTAAGTGAAAAGATGTGAAACTTTATTTTTGCAAGTCTAGGGACCAGAAATAGGACAGAGATTAGCTCTCCAACTGTGAGAAAAACCACACATCATCTTCAGTCAGCGTGGTCTTCAGCTTGCTTGAAAATGCACATTGCTTCTACCTTTCAACTTGCACACACTGCAAAGTATCTGAGAAAATTGTGACATGCATTCATTGCAAAATGAGATGTATTGAAAGGTGCTGTGAAGATTTAGTTCCTCCTTTCACGCCTTGGCAGATTTTAGTTCATTTTGTAGTTAATTTTATGCTTAAAACAGAGGCTAACAAAAGGGAAAGACTGCAAATGATCAAAAAAAAAAAAAAAAAAAAAAAAAAAGCTAAAGCTAAATCTCATTCCCCAAGTTGTCACAGAGGTCATAAAATCATAAAGTTCTCTGTTTTACTCATATACCTTTTGATCATTATCACCTGTGTTGCTTCTATAAATATTTTGTCATCTGTCCATCATGATACAGATATATGTGACACAAACACTCCCAACACCACCACTACTCCACCCCAGCAAAACATGGCATGCTTTCCTGGTTTGTCTGCTGTCCTGTTTTTAACCAGAATTTTCCCCAGCTCATAGGATGACATTCTTCAGCGTAGAACCCTTTAGGGAATTTTTCTTTTATATAGGCATTACTGGGTAGGGCATTAATGTAAAATATAGCATGCATTGTAGGCTATTAGTCCTGTCTTTGACTTATTGTTCATTTTTTTTATACTAAAATCAGCAATTTCTGCCATTTCCTTTCTTCATCTCAGGTACTTCTCAGACAGTTAGTGATCTATTAATGCTGTATAGCCAAATATAAAGAAAACAGTTTGCAATGCCATCTGTATGCATATTTGTGACTTTAAAGCAAAACTTCATGTATTCACATTAGCTTTTTACATACTAAGGTATTAAAATTATTTTGTACGCTGCTGAAATCATTAAAAAGTATATAAAAATAATTGAAGTCAGGTTTCTGTGTGTAACATTTTTCACGTATCATGACACCTTTGCTGTTTATCACATCAGCTTTGATCCCTCAGTGTCACAATACAGTTCTAATGCTCAGTCTTGTCAGTTCTTCAGCCTTCTGTGCATTGTCCAGTTGGAATATGAATCATCCTCATTGCACCGGTTTAGTAGCTAACCAATTTAGTATTAGTAAGCCAAGTGACAGGGCTGTTGGAAGCAAACAGCCAAGCTTTCAGAAAATGACAAACGTGTCCTCCTCTCTGCTGGGAAAAGCATTTGTATAAGTGATCTGCCACTACAACTCCAGTGAGAGTTATAAAGGTTACTAGTAGGCGTGGCTTCTGGGATTCCTGTGTTTAGTCATTGCTGACAGTCATCCAAGATCCGCAATATTCTCTTGCCTGATCTCAAAATTGTAATTTCTGAGTGGATGCACTCCAAGGGGAAGATCATTTAGAATGGGGTCATTGTCTTCATGGGTTCCTGCATAGGATTCCATATGTGTGGAATGAGAGATTTCTGAACGAATTTCCCCATACTGATAGGAAATGTATTGCATGAGCTTGACCATAGCGTGAGCAGTTAGCTCGGGACATCTTGTTCTACACAGCTGGAGAAGAAATGCACTGTTACCTTGAATAAAGCATTCTGCTTGTGAGATGATTGTTGCAGATCTCCTAATGTTGAGATATGATCTACAGCAACTTTGTAGATGGATATCCTTTAGTTCCATCAGTCTCACCTGACCATGAACTCCCACAGAAATGAGGGTGGGCAGGCTGTGACAGTTTAAAAAGTTGATAGTCTGAGGGCTGGTGTTGGAGCTGTATCTATTGAATGTAAGTAGGGGAGAGATGCTACGGGAATAGCACACATAGACAATTGTCATATCTACACTTGCTTCACTGTGGCCATTACAATTCTCTCCTACACTGGATAGACTTCCATGTATTTGTGACGGCTGTGTATATATGTACACACAGCCCCAACATATGTTACGAAGAACTGAGCATTAAACTAGAGTACAATATTAATATGCTTAAACTCAATAACAGAGGCCATCACAAATAAAGTATATGTCCATTCACATATCATAAATTCAATAGAATCCCAAAGAAAGATCTAGCCTCTCAAAGTGTAGCCCAGGCTGCACTGAACTTTTGAGCAGTATGGAATAGCAATGGGAAGAACCCTGCAGCTCTGGTAACAGCTAGCTACTCTTGTTTGGGTTATGGCTTCTAGAAATAGCATGACATTATCTAGAACTAGTTTACATAAGAGTCCAGACCATAGGATGACTTCTCCAAAATTTATTTTGGAAGGGTAGAACCTCTCATTAGTGACTAAATGGCTGCACACATCTGACAAGTAGAAGCAAAACAGCCACACAGGAAAAAAAATGGAGGAAACAATCATATATAAACCATCACATTATTGTCATGCTTGTTCACAGTCTCCGGTTCTTCTTCTATCTCACTTTTTCAATTACCTTTTCCTACCACCCCCAGTAATTAATGTAGGTGACACGTAAAGACCTCCATGAAGTTGCTAGAGAAAGGTGATGTTTGGTGACCTCAGTTCCCTGTGACAACTCATCAGAAATGCAGTGGAATGCAACAACAGCTGGTGTTTCTGATAAGTAATCAGAATGGGCAGTCAGTGTTGGTGATTCAGTTATGCTGTAGATTTTGTCAGATGTACCACCAGAAAGGGATGGTACTTGATTAGATTCATGCAGTTGTAGTGATTGCTGGAATTGTGGCGAGCGGCAGTTTATCTGCTGTAGAAAGGTGACAAAATGTAGAAAGGTGTCAATTTACAAAATCCAAATAAAATTTTCTTCATAGATCTTCTGCAGGGAACTTGACTGTTGTCAGTGGAGACTGGACTGAAGGAAAAGGCAAACTGTACCAAGTGATCTTGCCAAACTTTAGTACTGTCTTCCATGTTTAATATACAGTTTATCGTCACCTGTGTTTTTTGCTTTCCATAATAAAGTGATTATTTTGTGAAATATGTGGAATAAATTTGTTTTTGCTTTAAAGAACATTCTTCTTTATGTGACTCTTTTCGGTGGGAGAGAGTTGGATTCAATGCAATCTAATCTTCATTTCCTTCACTGTGGAAACAGTGAATGATGTGGATAACC